ATATATATATATATATATAATTTTGAACAATATATTAATAGTATTTTGTGCAATAATGTAGTAATTCATGTAATAAAAAATGTTTTACATATGCATTCCTTACTATACATTGTACACAAAAGAATCATTCATGATAAATATTAATCCATGTAAATAATGTTTAAAAAAAAAACATAAATTACTCACCATTTTGTTGTCGTTTCTAAAGTGACTTCATGATATGACACAGTGAATTGAAATTTTGCGGCTCTCTTGTTTACTCGTTGCAATCGTTTCCAGACGGAACTCATTTTTTTATTAAATTGTTTCTTCAAATGATTCTCACAATGTTTCCAACTTATAATTATTTACCTATGTCTTGGATATGACACATCATTTTTTTTATCGAAATTATAGAAATTAACTAGTGCGTTACTTGCAAAAAACGTACGAACGTTTATTCCGGGCTATTGTAGTATTAAATTAATAAAATATTCTAATCCTTCATATACATATCTGACATTTGCACTATGTGATAGGAATAATAGCATATATTTGTGTATTCGTTAATTTACGAATTTCTCAAATTATTACAAGTTTCATTATCATTTCTATAGACGTAGCGTTATCTATGTACAAAACAATATATTTTGACACTGATTTAAAAAAAACCACAACAGATTAAAAACTTTTCCGATCAACTCGATCTTATACTCTGATGAAACCTTTTCAACTTATTGATCTTATACTACGTAACACTATGATAAGAAACTTCGTTATGATCAATCGAACAGCTTTTGTTTAATAATTTAAAAATTTGTATAACTGGTTTTAAAATATTTGTATTATATTTTTAACGAATTATTCAATGCTTTTTTCAATAATTGTAAAATCGATCATTTCAATTATTTTATAAAATAGATCAATTATTTTGACATATATTATCGATATTAATTATATATGTACGAAATACGTACATGTGTTATAAATAAATCAAATTATATATAAATAATATACATACATTTTGTCTAAGGAATTTATATTTTAGCAATGTTACAATTGAAGAACCTAGAGGGTGCTACTAACTTGATACAATAATTCAACTGAAACTCGCCCATCTTCTTTAGTCTTTGTTTCTTTTGAATGAATTTGCGCATGTTTCTTCGTTTGAAATGAAATTTAAAATTAAGATTACATTTTCACTGTCTAATAAGTATACGTTAGTAAATAGAAATAAATATAACTCTTACAAATATAATTGTCTATAAAATAAACTTGTCCAAAATTCATTAAATTTATAAAATCACAAAAGAAATGATTACATTATTGGAAATTGTTATCATTGTTATATAAATGCAAATTGTAAATTTTTTAAAGGAATTTTTTTTTAGATAATTGTAGAAAATATGCTTAGGGGCACTAGGTTAATGATATTATAGAGGTTTCTTGGAAATTGTTAAAAGTTGTTGAATCATACTGCAATTTATTATGTAATATGTACAACATGCATTTACGTTTTTTTTCTATGTTATCTCCATATTATCGACATAGTAGAAATACAAAGTCATCTTATGCAAGAAGTGGTATATAACAAAGAACACAGATTTCTTTTTAGGATACGTTTGTACATTGACTGACGAACGTTAAGTTAAAACGTTAAAACGTTAAAACGAACGTAAACATTACGATTATAAAGTGTGTTTTCTCATTAAAAATAACGAAAGGTTATTCATTTTTTGAAATATTTTACGTTCATATTCTTAGTTCTGAAAAATATATATTATCAGTAATGTGTATTGTTATTTGAATTTATGTATTTATAATTGTTCAATTAATTTTTGTTTCATCTGTGTTCTGCCAGGGTAGAAAAATTAATATTATTAATATACTTATAATACTTATAATATTATTAATATAATCATAATAAATACTGAGTTCAAATTTCTGAAAAAGCTGAAAATTTTTATAGTATAAATTATTATAGCAATAACATAAATTATAGTAAATTATAGTAATTATAGTAAATTATTATAGTAATAACATAAATCGTAATAATCAAATCAATTTGAAAAATATATTTGTTATCATGTGACGTGAATATCTGTTTATTTAAATAATTCAATTTATATAATAGATGGAATAATAATTAAATAATTTTTGGAAAGGGATATGACAAATTTATGATAATATATTACGCATTTATAAAATATTTAAATAACGAGTTTATTTCATAGATAGAACTGATAGATTCGAATTAAATAAAATGTGTTTCAGCCTTATAAACTACAACCACAATGTTACTAGCTACGTGGTTAATATCAGATATTTTGGCTATATCAGGTCTTATAATTGCGGGATTTTATATATATTATAAATTTTACATCTCTAAATTTTGGCAAAAAAGAGGAATATTTTATCTCGAGCCTACTTTTCCCACTGGGAATATAATGCCATTTATAACCGGTAAAATGTCACAAGGTACATAAATATAATAAATATAAAAATGATATCGGTCGTTTTACCTAACATAGTAATTTAAGAAAAATTATTCTATGTTTCTTACATTTTTTTTATATTTTTTACATTTCAAATTTAAGAAAAATTATTCTGTATTTTTTACATTTTAAATTTAAAGATTTTAATTATATCATTAAAAAATTGAGCTTATTTAAAGATTACTAGTTTTGTAGAAATCTATTAACATTTTACTAATCGAATTGTACTGAAACAAAAAATTATTTAGAAAAACAGTCACAATCGATTAATGTTACGGACAAATTATATTTTGATAGTCGATTAACTTTAGGTAAATTTCTAGTTTGGCGGTTTTTTTCAATTTTCGCTATCTTACTGTCGTTTCTTTAACAAGATGTTCATTTTATCACTAAAGCAAGAAATCAATCGGGAAGGATCGAAAAAGTTACGTGGTTTTTGTTATTTTTTAAAAAAAATTGTCATATTAAAAAATTATAATTATAGAAATAGCCAAAATTTCTATTTTAAAAATAAAAAAACTACTAAACTAGAAATTTACCTAATTTCAATAATTAAAGGGAAATTGTTTTCAATCAAATCTTTTCAACATACTTCAAATGTAGCTTTTGAGAAATATTTCTAAAAAATACATTGAAACAAAAAGAACATATTTTTTCTTTATCTTTAAAATAGCAAGAATAAAATTGTAGTAAGACTTGTCCTTCAACGATTCTTGATTATACTTAATATCTGTAAACTTTAGAATAATTGAATATATCAACTAACTTAAAAATTTAACAATAATCGGCTGAAATATTTGATCATTGTTTTTCTGCTGTATATATCTATATCTATATAGGTCTATATCTGTATCTATATATAGATCTATATCTATATTTATATATCTGTATATATCTATATCTATATAGATCTATATCTATATCTATCTAAACTATATCTATCACTCATAAAATTTTTATTTTACAGCCGAGTTTTTCAGAGACATTTATGAACAATATAAACATCATCCTCTTATTGGCATATATATGCTTCATAAACCATTTTTGATTGTGAATAATCCTGATTTAATCCGAGATGTACTGGCAAAAGAATTTGCAAGTTTTCACGATCGTGGATTATTCTGTAACGAAGAAATTGATCCACTATCTGGACATCTATTTCAATTACCTGGGAAAAAGTGGAGGAATTTAAGAGTGAAATTGACACCGACTTTTACTTCAGGAAAGATTAAACAAATCTTTCCAATTATGAAAGAATCCGGAAATACATTGTCGGCATATCTAGCAGAAAAGGCACAGACAAAATCAGCTGTTGACGTAAAAGATGTATTTGCAAAGTAAGTTTCTTTTTCAATATTATTCATCGGTCAATGATTTAACAGGAAATGAATCTGTTAATAGTGCAGAAAAGTACAATTTTCGTAAAAAATATTCCCTGTTTAATTTAATAAGTACAGTTCAATTAGTACATGTTTATAAAATTCACAGAAAAAGTTCATAAGATTCATATATTAATACATGCAAAAGAAAACATTAACATAATTTAATTATTCAAAAAAATATTTTTAAACAAATTGTTTTTGTTTATTTTATTCAAAATATTTTTACAAAAAAATTCTCTTTTTTTTGTTCATATTATTCAGAATTGTATG